CAGCGAAACGGTAATGGCCGAATAACCGTCACTGTTTCCGTCAAGTGCCGAATAAGAAAATGATTGTGAGATTGGTGCAATATTTAAAATATGGGAGCTTTGATGGGAACAAACCGAGATAATGAGATATATGGAATGAGAAATTTTAAACGCCGTGGAAGAGGATCTTGGTACCAGTACTACAAGATTAGCTACAAAATTTACAAAAGTGTTATGTTATAAAAAGATAAGATGAGTAAACAGATTATTTATTTATTTCTGTGTATTTCATTTATCATAATTGATTACTGCTTGAGTTTTCTACTAGATTACTTGTTAAGTATCATAGTTTATCTTATTTAAAATCTTATTGTTTTGCTTTTGTGAGATAATAGGGCTCGTGGCGAACACTAATTCAACAAAAGTAACGTGCCAAAGAGCGGTATCTCACGGCGGGTGGTGTGGAAATTTGTTTTAATAACATTTCCTTTAAATACGAGATTTGACAACAATGCATAGCCCAGTACCCAATTGTGCATGCGCCGCGACTAAAGTTCGCCGTTGTTTGAGGTCGCACTAGCTTGTCCAGCGGCGGGGTATGAAAACTACTTAAAAAAGGTTAAAAAATCAAGTTTTGACGACGGAATTTGAAAAAATAAACCCTCTGTATAAATATGACACCTACTTAAGATTTTTTTCCAATGTGCGCAAGTTTATGGGCAGAAAAGTGGATTCTAGTTATGTAACTCAAATAATAATTTCCGTATTACGTCGAGACGGACTATATCCGCGCTCGCGCGTAAACGCGCAGCAAATAAAGCATTACGCAATATTTATGGATGTCCGACACGCACTCCAATCCGGCGGGTGGCGATAATGAAATTAAAAAGTCGACCGGGGCACAATCGAGGCGGCATTGAATGTAATGAATGGAGCAATCACTGCCGTTGCGTTGTGCTCGAGCCCGGGTCAGCCGGTCAAGTGTTCGTTGCCCAGCGCCATTGTGCTGAATAATGACTGGACCCGGGGTTGTTGATCACTCCTAATTGCATGCTTGAAAATTTAATGAGCAACTGTTTTTTCGCTATCAAACGGCGACAGTCGCCTCGGTGGAGGAGAGAGTCTCGTACATCGTGTAACGTACATTTATCGGAGGCTACCTTGGACGATTATTGCAGCGAAATTATGCTTAAAACAACTTAATCGGGATATTTTGCACGGCACACTTGACAAGCTCTGTGGGCATCTTCGTTTGCTTCGCCATAAATTATGAGCATATAATATTCGCGATTGCTAAATAAATGCGGCATTTTCAAAAGAAAACTTGGAAATACGGTTATTAAATGTACTCTCGAAAAACAGCACAGCAATCACTACAACAATGTATTACAAACTGACTTTCGAATACAGTCTGGCTTCATAAGAAACCTACGAACTTGTAAAAAGTGGCAAAGCTGCCCAAGTACCCATCTGAGGCAGGCCCAGGGGACGGTGTAGCAAGCCAGGGGCGTACTCGAAGGGTACGCGTGGTAATTTATTTATTAGTTCTCGGAACGGATGGGCCAAAAAGTAAAATATTTCAGTCAACACTAATTTATCGAAAAGTTCAGTGTTTTCAAGTAGGTTTAGCGTCGCCACAAGGCCGTCCTTCGGAGAAGGCTTCATGAAATTTAACAGTATTTTTGAACAAGTTCACTTAGACTGTCGGGGCCATGTGTTGAGCATCTGGTATAAAGAGAAAAATCAATATTTCAAATAACGCGCGAAATGCATTCCAAAGAACGTAGGAATTCCGAGAATAAGTTGTTAGAACAATAATAATAGATCAAATAGCTGGTTTTTAGGCGGATTTTCCAAGCTATAAGAATAGATTAAATGAGATTGACTAATCCATGGTCCGTATTGCTACCCGGAGTCACTAGAGGAAGGCTAGGGTTACTTGTAAGTCCAGTTAGTCACAGAATTATTTATAAAAATGTAAATTTAAGTGTAGTTCTTAAAGAATTAATAATGGTTTGACAATTTTTCCGATTTAAAAGAAAATAATAATTTTAGATTAGTATTTCGGGAACCACCTCCTAAGAAACTGATCCCCATTTAAAGTTACACCCTATATATCTAATTCCGTGAATAAAAATGAAAAAAATAGAGATAAAAATTTGTTGCCTCAGCCATCGATTTAAATAAAACGAGATCTATGTTGATTATTATTAATTCTTTGTTAAATCTAAGGGTCACTGTCATAGTGATGAGATGAAAGTAGAACATTTCGCGCTCAGTATAAGAAATGACAGAAATTGTAACTTTCTATCTGTTTTGATTTCGAAGATTTTCATTTAGTTGCGAATAGAAAGTTGAATAGAACAATAAACTTAAGTAATCGTTTTAACTAATGATGAGAAACAACTACTTTGCAGGCTACAGATTCCGTTCAACAGTGAATCACGCCCGTAATATCTAGTAAACAGGCCAAGATCATTAATTAGCAGAATCACCAGATATACACCGGTTTTTTCGAACTTATTACTTGTCATCAGTCATAGGTGAGACGAACGACAAGTGATTTACTATTTGGTATTTTTTTTAGGTTATATCTCGCCCACACTGAAACCATTGTCTTTTAAGTAATACTTATTCGACAGTACAAATCTACATGTATTTTGAGGAACAAAAATTCCGTTTATATTTGATTTACCCTCGTATTTTATAATCGAGCGTAGAGAAATCAACATATTGCCATATTTATTTATTATTCATATTATTAAAAAGTTGAGTTCTATAGGTAACTTAAGTACCTATATAATTTTTACCAGATTCTAAAAGAAATTAATGAACAACTGAAAAATCGATTACTATGTGTAAAAATGTCAATCGTATTTTTTTAAATTTAATTACAAAAAACGAAATATTTTGATTTTGTCTCCTAAAATAGGATGAATTTAAACAAGTTTTTAGCGAAACGTAAACAGTATAGAAAATAAAAGAAGTAACCTTCAAATAATGAATATGCGTGACGATCCAAAATTCGCATAAGAAAGGAACCTTTATCACCATATTTTTATGATCGATCAACATGACAAACGATTATTTAAAAATTAACGCCTTAAACTCTTTATCGCCCAGTAAAAATAAACGAATATAAAATAATAATTCTTAATCTCCGACATTACACATACATTTCATAACGTCATTCTTTCACAAATCGACGCGTTACTACGAAAACATGATTTGTAAAATTGTACGTGGAAACATGCTAGCTCACACAAAAGTAAGTTTGACTAGAAATTTAAGTTGGCTACATTGGCGTTGAAATGCATATTGAATGATTGAAACCGTGCACTTATAATGAACTTCTATAATGTATTTTTCAAAAAGTCAGGAATATTTATGTTCAAGTATACTGTTTATTTTATTTTTTTCATTCAACATTTTCAATTAATTTTGTTAACTTACTGTTATAAACGGCAAAATTGTTAATTAAAAAATAGAATAATATGCAGTATGCTGCATACATACATGTGCATGTATGTACATTACTCGACGTTTTTTGAAATAAGCGCACTCTTATCTGATTTATAGTTACTGCTCCTGATAAACTTATTTTTTTGCACATCACAATTTATTCTGAAAATAATTTTATATGCCTAATGCGGACTCTAAGGAGACTGCAATAAAAAGGATTATATGGACCAACCCAGTAGATTGTTGTAAAATATGGAAACTGTAACGGCATATAAGTATATGTATACAGGGTGTCCCAAAAGTATGGAAACAGCACAATAACTTTCGAAAAATGCATTTTGAGGAAAAATGATGCAGACAAAAGATTTAGGATTTTTCCCTGGTTATTTAAAGGTGACCCTAGATTTGACCTTAACCTTCAAGGTTATTTCAAGGTCAAGTTAATTTTTTCAAATGGGATGCCCTACTTTTGACCCCGGAAATTAAGAGAGAAATTTTACGTTCAGATATGTCCTTGACCATTTTCCGAATTTGATCTCTGATGGTCATTAAAGGTCAAATCAAGGTCACGCATGGTTTGGCGCGCTGTCTTGAAAACAACGGGTTGTAAAAAATTACCATAACTAACGTTGTAGGATATTTCCCTGGCTATCTGACGGTGACCCTTGATTTGACCGTGACCTTCACCTTCAAAAACCGCACTATATCAATTTTGGCAAAAGTCAGTTGATTTTTGAAATCACTTCCGCCATCTTGGACTAAAATTCCTCAAAAACAGATTTCAGATTCGTAGTCAGCGACCCCAAAAACCCCCCTATACCAAATTTGGCGTAAATCGGTTAATTTTTTGGAATCGCGTCCGCCATCTTGGACTAAAATTCCTCAAAAACAGATTTCAGATTCGTAGTCAACGACCCCAAAAAACCCCCTATACCAAATTTGGCGTAAATCTGTTAATTTTTTGGAATCGCGTCCGCCATCTTGGACTAAAATTCCTCAAAAACAGATTTCAGATTCGTAGTCAGCGACCCCAAAAAAACCCCTACACCAAATTTAGGGTAAATCGATAAATTTTTTGGAATAGCGTTTTGTCTGAATCACTTTTCCTCAAATGCATTTTTCGAAAGTTATTGTGCTGTTTCCATACTTTTGGGACACGTTGTATATAAATTTATATAGAGAAAGTAATGCAAAAAATTTTGACGGTTCAATAAGTGAATTCAAGTTTAGAGCTGTGAGCGGACATTATAAAAATGCGTTCGTTTCCTCCTCCAAATTAGTGTCCTGTTTGCCGTTCGGTTCTGTTTGTTGTTCGGCATAATGATCAGGTCTGTACGAAGCTTTATACATAAGTGTCCTCAAAATGATATAATTATAATGAATCGTTATTATGCTTTCAAGGTGATTTGTGTTGGGTTTGAAAAGCTAGAACTGCAAATATATAGAAACATTATAGTGAAATATTCATTCGAGCCCTTGTCTATGATGACCTAAAGAAGCCACAGACCTGATCATGACTAAATCTTTGGAGGAATATGAGTTTTTATATCTTTACTAACCTGAGAAAGTAGTCCTGGACAAAATCTGGATGCTCGTCCAGCCAGGCCTCCATCTTAGAGTACTCCGGATCATAGCTGTGGCCCCCAATGACACTGTGGTTGTTGTGCCTTGGGAGTCGATGTGAAGACTCCGATCCAGGTGTGCCCCCATCGGCAGGCATCCGCCCTTCGTCGCCACAACTGCGTAAATGCAAGCCTGGAACAAAAGTGTCAATTAGACCTTGAAAACTAACAGAAGTATAAAACGAAAAGTATAAAAAGTTATTATTGTATTTTTATCACCATCATCTGAATGTAAAAGCTGGTCATCACTCAAGTCAAAGTTCAAGCTGATGGATGACATTTCTAAACTAATCAAATTCAGGAAATGTCACTATATGAAGCGATAATAGTCTGCTTTATTCTTACTAAAATAGTCCTTGGGTCTTACCAACCTGGTTCTAACGTAACTTTGCTGACTAAGAAGAATTTTTACGATTTGGTGGACAACGACAATATATGGGTGGTCAATTTCTACACATCCAAGACAAAGAAAAATCACTTCGCCAAAGAATTTGCCTTAGGGGCTGACATTCTCAAAGGCGTCGTCAAATTTGGTGCCATCGATGTTGAAGATGATGCAGAACTTGCGAAAAATTTCACAATCAACATAAAATACTTGCCTATAGTAAAATTATATGGCATCTCAAACGGCAGAAACCCCAAAGTATATACTGGACCAAAATTTGCTAAGGATCTAGTCGAATCAGTTATAACGAATATCTTGGAGAAGATCAAGGGGCAGTTCGGGAACAAGTCACCGGAGAATTTTATCGAAGAAGTCACTGATGACAATTTCGACAAAATCGTAACGTATTCGAAAGAACCATGGATGGTGTTGTTCTACGCCCCTTGGTGTATCCACTGCAAAGAGCTCAAGCCTGTTTGGTCCTTAGTGGCTTCCAGTTTGCAGGGAAAAATCAAATGCGCCTCCTTAGACGCGACGGTAAATAAAATAAAAGCTGAAGAGTACGAAATAAAAGCATATCCTACAATAAAACTGTTCCCTTTTGAAAACAAATTGTCAAAACACCCCCTCGATTATTCTCAAGAGCGTACAGTTGAGAGCATTGTGGAGTGGGCATTAGAGAAGTTACCTGCACCAGGTATTGTACAACTTACAGACGTTGAAGTGTTTAAAAGACATTGTATAAAGCAAAACATATGTGTTATCAGTGTCCTTTCGTCAATTCTTGACTGTGATGCTCATTGTCGCGAAAGCTATTTGAAAACTCTTCAACAATTGGCGGAAAAGTTCAAGAGACACGGTTGGGGATGGCTCTGGACTGAAGCAGGTGCTCAGAAAAACTTAGAAAGTGCTCTGGATATTGGAGGTTTTGGATACCCCGCTCTAGTCGTGATAAATCCTTCGAAAATGAAATACTCCGTCTTTAAGGGCGCTTTCACCAAGAGTAAGATCCACGAGTTCCTAACCAAATTGGATAAAGCTACAGCTGTTGGAGTAGAAGGAAACCTAATGGAGAAGATTGTAACAGTGGAAGTTTGGAATGGAGATGATTTACATGACAAATTTGGTGCTAGGGATGAATTGTGAAGCATAGATGAAAAGATCAGTGAAATGTCGACTTTAAATTTTTTATATAGAAATGAGATTAATAACTGTGTTCCAAATCTAGCTTTAGTACCAGTGATACATCGTCAACCTTATATTTTTATGTAACAGATTAAAAAATATCCCTTGCAGCTATTTCTTTTACGTTCTAATGATGTCACGTTCACCAATATCCTTAAAAAACGTAAGGCTTTTTGACGAAATATTTGCTAGATATTAGAAAGGTGGGTTATAATTTAAGCTGCGAATATATCTGGATCTGAGCAGCTTACAAATTTTTAGCAATAATCAGATAAACAAAAACATTTTTAAATCGTAATGCTCTATTTGATTGATGGAGATTAGCTACAATTTTTTGGTATCTCGGTATGCGAAAAGTTTATCAGTCCTGGGCAACTTGGATAATCCCAGTCTTGTTACTATGCCCATAGAATATCATACGTTTAGTACATTAAGAGAGATTGTAGTCGTGTCATCACAGCTTTACTTTAAGTAAGTATAAACCTATTGGTTTTCCTTTGAAAGTAGGTTTAGATCTCGGTTTTACTTAGAGAATTTGTGCAGATTATTAGTATTAATTATAAAACTGAAAATACAGGTATTAATGACAAACATTTTTTAAACATTTCTTCATCGCTAAAAAAAGAAGTTTTATTCTGTACAGATTTGTTCAAATTATTTTCCACATACACCGCTGTGGGAAAAAGTAGTAGTAGAGAGATGAATCATAGCATGAAATTTAATCAAATATTTTCAAAAGGATAACTACAACTGGGGAGTTTTTTTTCATTTTATAATATTCCTTTGACAAGTTTCATAATTTCTGTACTAATGAAACTTCTGCGACTCCATTAACAATATGTTGATTTGATTTTATAGTGTTTAGTATTCCATTTTTGCTTTAGTATTATGTACAAATACTGACATAACTACAGCAAATTAGATTTTCACGATTATTTTCTTAATTTTAATTTTTTTCCGCATTTGTATTGTAATACTGTACAGAAATGTCACTGCACTGCACAGTAAAGTTACTATCATTAAAACACAATTTGAAAGAAAATTATTTATGTAAATTATATTACTGTTAATCAAATTTCAATCATTTTTAACACCTACAAACGTCAGTTAGTTCTTCCTGAAAACTATGGTGGTTCATCGCTATTATAAGAGACCTTTTGAGGTGCCCTTAGTCCTTGAAATATCCTTTTTGAAATTCTGAGTTTATTTATTAATGTATTACCATGTCTTTTAAGAGATTTACTACCAGCTTCCCTGTCAGCAAGAGAGATGACAGAAGTTCTCAAACAATGACGAAAATGTGAGAGTTTTAAGTATTTTGTATTTTCTATGGGACTTTTGCAAAATTTGTTCTGGTCGTGTATACCTAATGGTTATAACGTTATGGCTACGAAGAGTATCCAGAAAATACTGCATATTGCCAACATTGTGAAAAAATACAGGGATAAATTATATATGTTTAGAACGAGATAATTAATGGGTTTTCATGTTTCGTTTGTGGGGTAAATCGATTCTGTTAATATTTTGGTGGCCAAGTAACTTCAATAATAAAAAGGTGAGTAAAAATAACCTTAATTCGGGACGGTATATTTTTAGTGCCCAATAAAAATAAAACCATATTTGGGTAATTCAGTTTAATGATTACATTAAAAAAATATTATGCTCATTACTCGGATTAAGTTCAGCAGCAATTAAGCCCAATTTAAATGTTTTTCTAAAAATAGGATTAAAAAGCAAACATTACTTATTCTCTTAAAAGTCAATGTTAGAAAAAGGAATGTTTATGTTTATAATACATATTATAAAAGTTTGTGGCTTCGTCAGAAAAATTTTGTTCGAATTTTTGTTCTTTTCTCATAAAATCGCAAAAGTAGAGTCTATATACAGGGTAGTTCGTAATTGTATGCCTCAAAGCATACTGCGCTAACAAACATAAACAATCTTTTCTTAAATATTTAGTCAGTTAGACAATTTTTATTCAGTGGCGTAGATATGGACGTAGTTTTTATAAAGTAAATTTATAAATATAAAGTAGTGGTATTTATAAATATAAAAATCATCATTCTTTGAATAACTTTGCGCAATTTTTCGAAATAACAGTTTCTTGTCTACAAATAAAACCTTTTTAGTAGGTTTGTTTTTCAAGATAATTGAAATTTTCGATATATCCGCAGTAAAAAAGAAAACACAAATGTACAATGTACAAATTAATTAGAGGCTTTGAATATTGGATGAAAAATTGTTTCAAATAAATGTCAGGTTAAGTTATTATTAAGTTTCTGTTCTAAACACAGGTTAAAAGACATTTCTCTTAGTTGGACCCAAACATAAATTGTACAGTATTTTAGTCAAATCGTAGAATGTTTTTTAATCCGGGTTTAGGGCAGAAAGTTTATTTTGAATTGAATTAAAAATACAACTAATTATTTTGTACTACAATATACTTTTTGCTGTAGAGATATCGGAAATTGCAATTATCTCGAAAACCATGCCTCCTACTAAAAATTTACAAGAGGTGTTAGTTCTAAATCAAAACAGTTATTTCGAAAAATTGTAGAAAGTGATTAAAAAAATACCCATCTATAATTTTTAATTTACAAAAATTACACCGTTTCCCCTTTACCAACACCACATCTGTAAGATTCAAGTTTGTTATTTTCAAATTTCGTTATTAAAAAATTTTAAAATTTCCCAACCGTAATATGCTTTGCAATACACACCACCACCACCTTTTGTAATAACATTAGAAGAAACTGTGATTTTGTCAGAAAAACATTTCGAACCTTGCTTTCCTTGGTAAAATCATTAGTGTCACCTGTATTTCTTTTTCTACTTGATTTCTTTGATCTTAAGTAAAACTTGATTTACTTGATTTTAATCAAAACATACAACTAACGACTTTAACTTTTGGAAATACAAAATCAAAAAAAAATATATTGACCGTTGCACGAATATTTCACCAACTGTCATATTTAATACTTCAAACCTGACGTTTGATTGATATACATCAGCGACTGAACAGGCCCAGATGCGTGAACAACGACATCCGCAAAGTTTTTGAAAAGTCATCTCTGAAGATGCCGACTGTGAAAAACGGTGAAACGTTTCAGAGAAGCACCAATATATGTCTGTATTATGTTCGTAGCTATCTTAGAACCAAAGAGAACTGAAATTAATAGTAGAACGGGTCTAGGTGCTCTGCGAGAGGGTCAGCCCCCACAGAGCCTAGACCCAGAACATAAAAAGCAGGTCACATATTCTTAGTTAAGGCTAAGGAAGTGCGCATATGGTCTTATATGCGACCTTGAGTGAGTGTAGTTTTTATTAGAATATTATTTAGAATTAATATTGTTACATATTTTCAATTACTAGAAAAATAGTTGTAATTTTTTGCTGTTTCCTTGGAATTATACGCAAAATATTTTCCATTAATTAAATCTAGAAGTAGAACCGTAGAAATACCAAGGCACTTCCTAAAACTATGTCTAATTTTTCCCCTTAAATCGTTTGAGTGACAGATTAAAACTGTTAAGATTCGCGCGTATCCTCGGACGTCACATCCC